GCTGCGGCTCAGCTCAGGGTCCCCGCTGAGTGAGCAGCGCCCCGTGAGGTCCTTCTCGGCCTCGGGTCGTGCCATCCGACGCCCCTGTGCCGGGCACCGGGCCGGGCGGGGGAGCACATCCGACAAGGCCTCCCTCCCCGAGTCCCATCTGGCGGGGGACAGAGATCGGACACACCAATCCACACACAAGACAATGTTTGCTGAGAAGATAAAACGGAGTTGGTGTGAGGGTGGCTCGGCTGGCGGGGGTCCAGGTGGGCTTCTCGGAGGAGGTGGCGTTTGGGCCGAGACCTGACGGGAAGGACCCGGCCTGGGCAAGATCGGGGAAACGGGTGGCAGGTGAGCTCAGCGCCTGAACTGGCAGCCAGCCAGCAAGGTGCGGGCTCCTCCAGGGGAGCGATTTGTGTGGGTTTTGTTCGCTGATGTGGGACGGTGCCATGGCCTGGCAGGGACGGGGAGCGCCGTCAGTATTCGTTGAATGGACGCTGTCTCCCCAAGTGACAGTGAGCACTTGTTTGTGCATCTGTCTATCCGTTTGTCTCCGCCGAGGACCGTCAGCCCCCACGGTCAGGGCCTCTCCTCCCCGGTCCACTCCTGATTCCCCAAGACTGGGGACAGCCCCTGGTTTGTGGCACTAAAGGGCGTTTGTGGAGCGACCGGGCACGCCTGTACGGAATGTGTGCTCTGTTCCAGATGCCGGCTTGGGTGCTGGGACCGACTGGGTGGCCAGCCAGGAGGACAAGGTCCTTGTGTTGTGGCTCACAGCCTGGGAGGCGCCGGGCAAACACACCGATTACGGAGGGCGACGGGGAGAACAGGGTGTGGAAGGGAGGTTGGGAAGCAGGACCGAGACGTGCTGCTGGGACGGGAAGTCACGGACGTGGAGGTTTTATTTCCTGGGCCACAGCCTTCCTCCCCTGGTGGCTTCCCCTCATCTTTCCGGGGCTCCTTCATTTCCAAAGGGAACACCCCTACCGCGTGCTGATGCCGCTGGGGAGAGAACCCCGAGTGACGGGCAGGCCCTCTCTTCCTGGTTCCGGGACCCACTTACCTGGTGGGTGCTGGGCTGACCCGGGAACACGCTCCCTCCTTCACAGCAGGTGGATGTGCTCCATCCTGTGAGTCCTCGGGCCCCGGGGCGTGTCAGGCTCCAATCTCAGAGGCTTGAACAAATGCCCCCGTCGTCGCTGCCAAGATTCGAGTTTCACTGAGTGTCATTACAGCCTG